ATGAACATGAAAATGACAATTCAGTTTTTATTCTGTCACTTTCCAGTTTGCTGAGTATTGATATCCAGCATGTAAGAGGAGGGGCTCAGAAGTTCACAGTCTGCAGAAGTTCACATAAAAGCAGCTTTTTATATTCCCATCCCCAAGGTGTCCTCAGAGATTCATTCCTGTAGACCTAATTGTCATTTGGCATCTTCACTTGGATGTCCAACAGGCACTCAAGCATAACACGGCAAAAACTGAAAGCTGATTTTTCCCAAACTTGCACTTTTCCCAGTATTCTTTGTCTCAGCAAGGAGCACATCCATTCATCCATTTGTTCAGGGAAAATAAACTTGGAGTTAGTCTTGTTTTCTCTCTTTTCCATTAACATTCTATCCAAAAGGCAGTTCTGAAGCTCTACTTTGTAATATATCTGATCACTTTCTTTCTTTCTTTTTTTTTTTTTCTTACAGGTACTGGGGATTGAACTTGGGGACACTCAACCACTGAGCTGCATCCCCAACCTTATTTTGAATTTTATTTAGAGACAGGGTCTCACTGAGTTGCTTAGTGCCTTGCTTCTGCTGAGGCTGGCTTTGAACTTGCAATCCTCCTGCCTCAGGCTCCTGAGCCACTGGTATTACAGGCGTGTGCCCCCCCACTCGGCTCTGTCTGACCACTTTCTGCATCACCTGTATTGCGAAGCACACAGACCTATGATGACCAATAGAGTATGGCAAGAGAGATGCTATGTAGCTCCTAAGACTAGGTCAAAGGAAGGCCATGCGATTGCACCTTGCTGACTTGGGATACTCACTCTTGGAACTCAATGCCAGTAACCAGTAAAAAAGCTCAAGTGGAAAGAAACAGAGAACCTTCCCTAACCCACAACCCTGCCAGTTGATAGCCAGCACAACCTCCCTACCCTGAAAGCATATCCTCCAACTCCCTGTCAAACTGCCCCAGCCAATGCCACTTGGAACAGAGGTGATCCATTCCTACTAAAGTCTATCCAATTGGCAGTCTTGAGAAAAAAATAAATGGATATTGCTTTAAGCCAACACATTGGTAAATATTGTTGTTACATAGATAACTGAAATAAACCTCAAACATAAATCACCTAAAATAAGAACACTCACTTTTTTTGTTTTCATTTCCACACTTTGGACAGGGCTCCCCAGGGACAACTCTTCTCCGCTCCAGCATGTTTAAGGCATTTTCTGGGAAGAGTCAAACATGTGGGTCTGGAATCATCTGGGATTTTTTTTTTTTTTTACTCGCATTATCTGGCAGCTGGGCTGTGATAACTCAGTTTCACCTCCCTTGGACATACCACAGGAGTCCCAGCAGTTGGCCTCTCCTGTACTTTGGGCTCCCTATAGCACCAAAACCTGAAGGTAGTCACCCTTCAGATGTGGTGGCTCAGGATTATGAGAGCATGTTTCCAGCAACCAAGTCAGACCTTCATGGCCTCTGTACCCAGCCTCGGAAGCCACACAGCACCACTTCTGTTCTGCTCTACTGATTGTCAAAGTCACAGTGTGGCCATAGATCTACTACTACTTGTGGGAATATATGAAAGAATCTACAACTCTGCTATAAAACTACCATAAACAATTTTACTCTGATTTGTTAAATATGGTTTTCTTGGTATTTATCCTGCCTTGAGTATGTGGCTTAATACTTTTGGCAGTTTAGAGAGTTGAAACTTTGCAAATAAGTATATATGGAGTCAAATAGATATTCTATCCACTCACTTGAACTTTGAAGACATTCAAATAGCTGCTATTTGTCTCCTTGGTGTCCCCTCCTAAAGTGTCTCCTCAGTCACTTGGCTAAATTGTAGTCTACAGATTCATAAGATTGCATATAAGCATAAATGAAAAATTTTGAAATGTTTTTTCCACGGTGTTACTAGAAAGCTTTAGTTATCTGAGTGGGTAATCCTAATTTTGTGCATTTGCCAGATATCCAATTCAGATCCATTATTCTTCTATGAACTAGTAAGTTTTATATTATCATACCTATCACATAGCTAAATTTGTAGAATGAAAGCTACCTAATCTTTGTATCATGTTGGGCATGCTTAGTATGTGCAAGGCCCTGGATTTAATCCCTAGTACTTTGTATTTCACGAATTAATTTTGCTTTGACCATCTTTAATAGAAATGGAGGTGACTGTTGAGAGAATTTTTTTTTCAACAGAAAACTGTAGTACATCCTCGTGGATATATCAGATTCTAGGTTTTGTTATATACTTATAAACTAGACTAGATCCTGAATTCTAGTTTTTTCCCAATATCTGGCTCCCTATGTTTATTCCAAATTTTCTCCCCAACTTCTGGCTCAGTAGTACTGATAACAGAAACTAACTTTTCCCAAAGGCCTATAAGCTAAAGTTGGAAAGCTTGAGATATACCTTAGAAAAAATCACAACACTTCTTGTACTGGTTACCTTGTGAGCTGCTCAGAAAGTATACTGGAACACCTGATGCAAACCACAAATCAGAAAAATCTGCCAGATTGCCTGTCCTCATGACACCATCTGAAGATGCTTAGAGAATATCTAGAAATCTTTCTCAGTGACTGTCCTCTGGACTCAGAAACTGGGTGTAAATTTCTTTCTAAACATTAGTCATTTTGATCCCATAGAAATGCCTTTGATTGCACAAATTATATGGAGACTTAACTTTAGTGGACACCCAACTTTAGTGGAAGCCTACCTACAAACACTGCCTCACAAAATAAGATATACCTCTCTTTAACTGTACTGACCCATACCTTGGGTTGAGAGACCAGTTCAATGGCTTATGGGACAATCCATCAACCTACTCTGGATGGTGAAAATTTTAGGCAGGGGAATAATGGAATTTAAGGCATGCTACTATAAAATATGGTAACTTTGCATTTGAGAAAACAGAAGATGCAGGTCATAAAACCTAGACAGGTCAATCTCTGACTTGCTCCCACACTTTTCCCCTGAAGTAGATCATAAGACCTTCATTCAAGCAGTACCCTTCCTGTTATAGTTGGATGTGAGGTGCTCCCCAGAGGCTAACATGTGAGACAGTGCAAGAAAGTTTAGAGGAGAAATGATTAAGTTATGAATCAACCCAATCAGTGAATCGATCCCCTGATGGGATTAACTAAGAGGTAACTGAAGGTCGGTAGGGTATGGCTAGAGGAGGTGGGTCTTTGGGAATGTGTCTTTGGGGTATATATTTTATATCTGGCGAGTAGAGTCTCTCTCTCCTTTCTGATCATCATGTGAGCCACTTTCATCTGGCACACTCTTCCGCCATGAGGTTCTCTGCCTTACCTCAAGCCCCGAGGAATGGAAGAATGAAGATGGCTGTCTATGGATTGAGACCTCTAAAACCATGAGCCCTAAATAAATGTTTCTCTTCTACAATTGTTCTGGTCAAGTCTTTTAGTCACAACAGTGAAAAAGCTGACTAAAACACTCCCTATACCTGGAAAAAAAGGAACAACCTTACTCTGAAGACAGAAGGACACAGAATAATCTTTTAAATAGGATTTAAAAAGTCCATCCACAAACCTGGTTAATTACCATTATATCACACCCCCTTTATCCAAACATATTTCTCCACACCTATACATTACCTCATCAAAGTGCATAAAAATACACAGATTTCTATGTTCCTTTGGTACTTCATTTCTGAAGACCCCTATATCATGCAAAACGTATGTTAAATAAGTTCATGTACTTTTCTCATGATGATCTATCTTCTGTTGTAGGGGACTCAGCCAGGAACCTAGCAATGGATGAGGGCAAGAAATCCTCCTCCCTACATGCTGAATATCAAGCACTGACTTTTGGGGAGAGAACAGTGGCAAGCATCTCAATAAGACATCCTTCTTTCTGCCCAGGAATCTAAGCCACCCTAAAACTTGCAATCTCAGATAATTAGCAAATAACAAAGCATAGATATTCAGAAATATATTTACAGGCAACAAAGCCCCTGATAGATCTAGTCCACATGGGTTCTGGAACTAGACAAAAACAAGATAACTCCCGCGGTTTATTTAAGGGGGCACATCAAAGGCAGGGATAAGGTTTCAAAAGGGGAGTTTTGCTTCCAAATGTTTTGCAGTCAGCAGGTTGATTGACATCTTGGCAGGTCACACCCATCTCAGGTGCTATGAGGGCTATGGCAGAGCAAGAAAGAGATTCACACTGTCCCTGGGTGCCGCAGTCTGGCTGGGCACAATTCAGGAGCCACTTGTCAAAAGAAACAAACTTTATTTTTAGAACACATGCCAAACCACACAGCTCTTCAGGAAAACCTTCGGAGCCCACCTTCCGAGCCCAACTTCCACCACCGGCTTCCCACAAGCCTCTAAACCTCCCCCACTCCTCCTGCTCTTGAGGCAGATTGGCTGGGTCGTGTGGGCGGAGCCAAAAAAAGTCCCCCAATGAGCAGCTCCGTGGTCCTAAAGGGCGGGGAAACAGCCCAGTGAGCATCACCGCAGAGGAGCCAATCAGTTGGCAACTAGAAGTTTGCTGGGGCCGCTGTGAGCCAATCATCAGCTGGCAGCTCAAAGTTTGCTGGCAGCTGGAAGCTTGCTGGGGCCTCTTCGGCTGTGGCTCTCAACACCTGGACAATTGACCAGAGGAAATGTCCACTGGCTATTCCCAGATACCATATGTCTCTATACACAAGGTTTCCATGAGTGGTGACCCACATGCAATCCATGGACAGCTCCAGACAACTGACTTAGCAGATTACTTTGGCCTTAAAAAGTTGTAGACAGATCTTTTGCCTGCCCACATCCTTTATTTGCCTCACAGATCAGTTATAAGCATTAGTGCTGAGCTTCATAGAGGTATCCTGGAGGCTCTGTTTTCCTCCCCAACCACTCTTTTCCTTCCCAGAATAAAATGTTTGTCAGTCCCATGTGTTGCTGTTGCATAGGGTTTATGTCAGATAGAAGGTCCTCTTTTCCCCAATATTTACTTGTTTTGTAAAATAAATATTCTTGTTAAAATATATTTGTGCGATAAAAAGCATTTTTATTGTTACACATAGTATATTAAAGCATAACATCTGGAAAGATACATAATAATATATCCCAAATATGACTTCCAGGAATGAGGGTGATAGAGGGGACAATATCCTATGGAAAGTGAATGAGCCCCAGTTATCGGCTGATACTACAGTGTAGGAAAAAGCCACTCCTGGGAAATAGTCCTTGCCTAAAGGTGAGGATGTGAATAGCCTTATACTCAGCTCTGACATCAATAGTTATCGGATGTTCTAGTAAATGGGTTTTCTGGGTACAGCAGGATAGCAGCAGGAAGTTCCTAACACTGTAACAGCAGGATAACTATTAAAATGTTTCTAGCTCTGTAACTTTATAGTACACAAAGAAGCCTCTTCATAACTCACAAGCCTTGAACAATTTACAAAGCTTCTATAGTTAAACTTCCTGATAATGAGACCCTATATAATAAACATGCTGAGCTAGTTCTGTGTCACTATTTCTCCATCAGAGGGCAGTGTCCCACTTGGCCCCAGCCTTGCTTAAAAATGTCTCTGTGTTTTTCTTAATCTCTCATAGCCCCTACTCAAGATCCTTTGTTGTTGCTGCATGGGTAGCAGCAGTATCCTAAGAAATGAAAGAGACAATTGTTTTGTCTATAATGGTCCAATTTTTAATTTAATAAAAGTGTATATACTTAAGGCTCCCTTTTCATTCCTGATATCATTTTTTGGATAGGCACTTTTTTTTTTTTTTTTTTTTGAGGTATTGGGGATTAAACCTAGGACCTTGTGCATGCTAGGCAAGTGCTCTACTATTGAGCTACAACCCCAGCCCTTGGATAGACACTATTTTGAATAGTAATATTTAAAGAGAACAGTATGCAACTTAGAAGAGTTATAATAATAACTCCTCTAATCAGTTGGACTAATCTTAACTGGTGTTCTTAGAATATATTCAAGTTTTATCCTCCAAACCTTCAGATAATGGGTTAAATTTTTGGAAGAGCCCTCCTTAACTCTCACCACCCAGGTGTTTGTGAAAGAAAGTCTGGAGTTGTTCCCACACATCCAGCTGGGCCATGGTATGAGCCCTGGGTTCCCCTCCATAGACAATAGGACCACCCACCAAGACATGATGGGCAGCCCTGCACAGGGGCCAGTAAGGGGGCTCAATGTAGTGCCCTGCTTCTGGGTAACAGATGATCTGGGGCTTCTCCTTCCCATGGGCCTGCAAGCGTTTAGAGGCCTCATTAGCATAGAACTCGCTCTTCCAGTTGTGGTCATCCTGACCCACAAGGAACAGGAAGGTGGTGTCAGACTTCTCCACGGGAATAAAGCTCTTCTGGTCTTCCAAAGGACTTTTCAGGGCTTCCACAACATCCATGATGCCATCTTTGGTCACCTTGATTTGATCTCTCATGATACCCACAGGGGGCAGCGTCTCGTCCTTGTAGTGTATGCTTGCCCCAACAACGGCCACAGAGCCATTGATTATGACTGCAGCTGTGATGCCCTTCAGGAAAGAGGATATGGCAAGGCAGAGTTCTCCTCCTTTGGAATTCCCAAGCAGCCCAATCCCTGGACCCTTTACCTGAAAATGGGACAGAAGAA